ATATATTTGAAGCACATCGATATAAATTTAAAAGTACACAAATAAAAATTACCAAAAGCAATTAAATATTTATGGTAACTACGTCTCGAATGTAAGGGAAATGAAATAAATATTATTCAATTTAAAGAGTTTTTAAAGACATGGAAATTTATAAACTATTGAATGTAAATCCGCTGGCTCCTATCACCGACGCTAACTTCTCATTATCTATGCTGGATTTCGCCTTGAATATTTGCATTTTGTAAGATCCTTTTTTCATATATAACCTTTATGTTAGTCATGTCCTGCGATGTGACGAATGTCCTTATTTCTGTTTTATTGCCATAATGACACCTATATCTGTATTTAGGCTGAATTTACAATTAGGTACTCTATTTTTAAAGAAGTTACCTCCGCTGGCCCCGAACACTTACAATGCCACAGGCATATCCAGTGCATTAGAATATATGTTTTTCAGCTATGCATAAATGGATATGTAACACAAAGCTATATAACCTATATAACATGATCCAGTGAAGTTCTATTGAATATTGTAAGTAATTAACAATTCGTAGAATTAAAAAAAATACAGTTTTCTAAAGTAATCGTGTATGACACTTCATACTCAGTAACCGTGGGTTAATTACACCCACTCTAAATGCGTACTGGGTGGATGCGGGGGACAGCTCAAGGATGGTAGAGTGAAAACCCCCATGATGTTCCACCTAGGTGCATATCGGCAGGCACACGGGAACGCTTTCGCACCCTTCCACGACCCTACTAGCGCTGACCGTCTCAGCAGCCCCTTTTTGGGGAGTAATTCCCCTCTACTCCAGGTAAGGCGCACTGGAACATTCAGCGCGCCTCCCTACTTGGCCCCTTTTTCACTGCCTACGAAGTCCCCCGAGTTCACTACCCAGAGCCCATGGGAGCCAGAAGAGCCAGTGCCAATAAGCAGCAAGCCTCCCAGCGGCGATCCTGGTCTGTGGCTCCGCCGCTCACCACGTTTCAGCCGTGGAGGTTAGGGAAAACGGTGTAATACCTAAACTCTCTACCCCTCCGCGACCCCACCACCACTGCATCAGCGGTGCAGCCCCACTGAGTCGCGGAGGATAGGGAGCGCGGCCAAACGCAATACGGATAGCAGAAGAAAGGGAAAATGGCTTCTCCTCCACCACCTTCGACCTGTCCCCTGGACCCTCCAAGCACGCATCTAGAGTGGGCTCAATGAGCCCACTCGGAGAGGCCCTCTCGGACCGGCCTTACGTCTCAGGTCGGCCAGTGTAGGTTCTCCGTGCCCCGTTTTTATGCACAATAGGTGAAACATCGTGGGAAATTTAGTCAGTGCCCTCGCCAGCGAGCAAGCGGTAGCATTTCCTCCGCATTAGCCAAAATAATGACAAAAATAACTATGAGTTACGCAATCGTTTACAGGAAAAAAACTGTCACACTTATTTCTTATTTAAAACTTGCACCAAAACATATTTAGTAAACAAACACACAGTGATGTACTTCAATCTAAAATTTTAATCCTGAAATCTTTTGTAACGTACGTTGGTAAATTCTTTATATATATATTACCGTCTTTTATTTTTTCTCTGTTGGCACGCAGAAGCCGAGAGTATTGATGGAACGTGCTTAAGCTCCGTTTTAACTTAGCCCGCCATCCGTCTTTAGACTGCTGAAGTGTTGTGCAAGACCGATTTATTGTCAATTTACTTTTTGCAATTAGCCAAGTTTCATCCGTTCAAATTCAAGACAATCGGTAAAACATTGCACCTTACGTTTTCTTCTTTCTGCTTGCGTTTTTTTAAAAAGTTGTTGTAGTTAGAAGAATTTCTATCCTGCTTCTATATTTTGAATTTTAAGTTCAATTTTAAAATTGTGTAAGTTATATAGCTTTCACCTGTAAGCTGTCATTTTTACAATCTTAAGTATGTCAACTTAACATATAAAATAAAGTGGGCTCTTACTTGAATATTTAGTAATACATGTGTATTAAGAGATGAATATTTCTAGAAGATACGTTAAAGATTTTTAGATATTTATATTGGCGATAATCCCCACTCTACCTTCTCTACAGTACTTAAATATACATAAGAGGGTCGGCCTCGTTTTGCTTAATCTCAAATTCTATCGATTCACTATGATTAGGGACAAATTCAATATTTATTTATCATCCGACACAAGTGCTTAGAACGTCAGTTTGATGGAGCTGTTTATTTCGATTATATTAGTGAGTTTTGAACTATGCGTAAAAAATCGAGAAACACAAAGCTGGAGAACACTATAATTCAAATCTCCGCCCTAACCAACATTCATTCATTCATTCATCTAATTTTAAATCTAATCTTATCTTCATATATATACATATAAATGATTTCCACCGATAATTGACTCATCACGATATCTCTGGAACCATAAGGCGTAAAGACTTGAAATTTGGTAGGAGGTAAGTAATTTGGTACTCCTTTCGCCGAGTAGAGGTCAGCTGAGAACGGATTTTACGAAATGCTACAAACCAACGTTTGCCGGATCATCTAGTGGAATTATATTTTAAACAATAAAGCTTGCGATAGCGAAGTATAGACTGGCTAAAATCAGAAAGTCGTTTCTTGGTAAATGTATTAAGTTATGTATTAACTAATAACTAACTTTAAACGGTTATAATTTTTTTTCAAAGGCTATCCTAGGCCTATTTTAATGTCGAAGAATAACATTGAGGACAAGAATCAGAGGAAATGACTGTTACTCTGCACTTGCGATTTCGTAAAAAAAAGTCAAAGTCATCCCGCTGTCTGTCTGTGTATCCCTATGTATGCTTAGATCTTTAAAACTACGCAACGGATCTTGATGCAGTTTTTTTTACTAGATAGAGTGATTCAAGAGGAAGGTTTATATGTAACACACGTGTGAAACCGGGGCGGGTCGCTAGTACAATATAAAAGCAAAGTAAGGTATCAGCCTATACAGGTCCCATTGCTGGACAAAGGCCTCCTCTGTACATAGGTTAACAATATAAGTTGGTACATAATTAGGAAGAAAGATAACAAATCCGCAGAGTTTCTTGTCCATACTTTTCTGGACAGGTCTAGTTTAGTGAATCGTTGGTAGTTTTTTGAAGTTTATTAAATTAAACCCATGTTAAATAAAGATTTTTTTTTTACTTTTGAGCAAAAAGACCGGTTTGTAAAATATACCTTATCACAAATTTCCATAAAACAACTCTTTTCATCAAGGTAATACGGGTATATAAATAATAAAACAGAGATTGTGTTTTTTTTTTTGTTTATTAGACACTACACGAACAGAATGACAATGGCCTAGAAAATGAAAGTAGACGAGGGATTAATTTAAAGAAAAAGCAGCGATAAATAATTGGGCGTTAATTAGGCAAGTAGAATTCTAATTACCCGAAAGGAATTTTATTAAAAGTTAAATGGGGCTTCCCGAATTACTTCGTTGTTTGACGTCTAAGAGAGTAGTTTACAACCCTAAGGTAATTAAAATTTAAACTGACATTGTATTTGCAATGGATTAGTTTCCAAATAAAGAATAAATTAAATTATTACTCACAGCTTTTCATCTTTAGATTGTTTCTTTTTTGCTTTTGTGACAGATAAACACTTCCAAGAATACCTGTATCAGAGCTCACAATTGACAATATTACCTCAGAGGCCAACCAGGCATTTTTGACACCTTCTATGTTGCGAGCGTCTATGGTAAGCACTTACATAAATAAATTACTTAACAAAACCGGCCAAGTTCGAGTCGGATTTGGCGACGGGTTCCGTACCATTAGCTATAAGACGGCAAAAAAAAATCATTCCTGTTGTATGGGAGCCCCACTTAAAAAAAGTTCCGTATTAACTTTTGGGTACGGAACATCGAAAAAATATCAATCCCCATCAATTTATTTACCCCCCTACAAAACTCGAGCGTCGTAAATACCTTTGTGACATAATATTTAACCCGTTGAACTGTCGAAGACTTCGTCTCAATTACTTAGCGGCACTTGACTGAATGACGAAGCGAATGTTCGCATACCGAACACGTGCCAAAAGCCGGGGGGTCGCGGAACAAAGCAACCGCAGCTCGGCTAAGAGGGTCCCGCTATTCGCCGGCGGCTGACCGCGGCCCGCGAACGGACTTTGAGTGAATGCGAAGAGTTAAATCATGTAAGTGATCCAAGTCGCACACACCACACGATAACACTCGCTATCGTACTGCCGATCTGGCTAATGGATATTAGCACCGTAATATTTTAAATGTACACATTACGTTGTACATATTTACGTTCGTGAATAATGGAAGATATAAACCATCAGCCGTGTAAAAATGCAGCCCTCATAAACATCCCTTACACACACACATTTAAATAGCACAAGAAAATTATATTTTTTTTTTGTCTTGGAATTCAGTCGCAGTTTGATAATGGACACTTAGAAATACTCTTATATGGTTAAATATAAAAAACAAGTTTGTGTTTCGAAATGACAAAATTGTATAATATGACATTAGCCTGTTTATGTATTTTCTTTACTAGGAATCGTACGTCGTACGTTGCATACGTATAAATGTTATCATATCATCACATGTTAGAATATAATCATAACTTCAGCCTGCTCAAGATCTCTGGTGAACATAGTAACGTAGTTTTCTCAAGGACAAAATGTAGCTAATTTAATCTTATCATTTAACTTATAACAAAATCAACAAGCAAGATATGAATAAAATCAGAACGAGACGTCACACAGACACCTAAAACAAATGAGATTACAAGAAAACTTGCTACGACAACGGAAAAACTGTCTTTGACAATATTGAAATAAAAAAAAAAAAACAGACAATTCTCCATTTGACGACTTCGCGTAAACAACGTCGGAAACTTTCGAACTGAAAGTGCCGCGAAACCTCGCGCGGAACGCCGCGCCGCGTCCTGAACGGCGGTCGGGGCTCCAGAGCCGGAGCGCTGCCACCTCAGTGTCCGCCGAGCGGCCGTCGGAGACGCGCGCGATGCCATGACAATGCGTACGCTGCTCATCATATACTTCGCGTCGTTAGTGCACTGTGAATGCAAGGGTGACGTGAAACATCTGCGGCATGCGAGGGCCCTCATCAGGCACGGCCGCTCGCGGGTGCACATGACGCGCGTGCACGGCCGCGCGCGCGACCTCGTCGCGCAGATAGAGGCGGAGACGAGCAGCGAACTCGGTAAAGTCCCGCCGGCCCGTCCGCCCGAAGGTGCGACAGCATTTGCGCCTTCCGCTACAAGTTACCAATTCTCGTAGGTCACAAGTTACGAATTCTCGTAGGTTACAGGTTACGACGTTCGTAGTGGTGCTACGAAACGGTGCTGGTAGAAGTTTCCGATTTGATACGAAAAGAAATTAGTAGTTTGAAAAGTTTCAATGTTATATTACCGTATTGTATAAGTTCATTCGTTCCTTATTTAATTTATTTTGATGTTGAAAATTTTCAAGTTTAAATACTTCCGGTAAGAAGGATTTCAACGCGTCAACACGTTCTGAAAAAGTTTTGCATTTTGCTTAAAGAAGATTCATGTTATTATAACTACAGAATGCTTTGATAAACTCGAATAAATTTAATATAATTCAAGTAAAATCAATAATCCAACTCGTTTAAAAATAATTTAAATAATACAAAATGTTTTTATTAATTTTAATTCACGGCTTAACGTTACACACATGTTTAAATGAATGGGCGATTTATGATAAATAGAAATTCAATTTCAATAACAATATCACTAAAATTAAACGAGCTAAGAAGAAATAGTGCATCTTACAACGAAACATTTGGCTTTCTTACTTTAAATAGCTTGACAAGTTTCAGGCTGCATTAAATATGAAGAAACAGTCTTCCAATTTTTATTCCAGGAAACCAATGACAACAATCATTGCAAAATTTTCGCAAATTAGAGCAATAATATACATTAGTGTGTAATTAATCAATATTTTCATTCATCATTTTATGTCGTCTTAAACATGATAGGAGGAATTTAAACAGTCTGTACATAAAATATAGCTTATAATAACTTTTACAAGTTCTACGTAGTCTCATTCCCTTCAACGAATATCTTTAATAAAGTTCAAAAGATGTTATACGAATTTTTATTTGGGAGGGAATCCAATCTAAACTTTGTCACCTAAATTGTTTATTCGGCGAAAGAAATACAGCGATGAAGTAAATATTGAAAATAACCATACCGTATTTCTAGGAACGACTTAATTGAAGACAATTACTAAATATTAATTTACTTTTATTAAATCATATTGTACACTTATATTAGTTTGTTTTATATTTATCCGACTTATACGTAGAAGGCTCTATGTATATGTATGGACCCAACAAAGAGAAAATATATCGTACAAGTTATTATGTTTGTGTCGAATTTGCTGTAAGTTATCAACTTAATTCGTTGGTGGAGATTTTGTAATTAAACATTTTTGATCACTTATTTAACAACACGTTTTTTTTTTCTTTTATCGTAAAATAAGAATTAACGTGTTATATAATATGATATCAATACAATTATGACGTTTATATTTTTATGTCCTTCTTCATCCAGTCATGGATTAAGGTGTAGAGAAGTAAGATCTGAGAGCTGAAGTTAGTATCATAAAATTTAAAATAATAAGAACTATTACACAAAAACGTCTTCACAAATGTTCAAAATGGCGTAAAAGGGAGTATCGGTTTTTAACGACATTAAACTTTATAAAAGGCTCTTGTTTTTTTTTTAATTTACTAAACAAAATGAAATTCACGTTCTATAAGTACTACGTTTGGTAATTCGTTCCAGAGGTATTTAAAAATCTCCTTTTTAAAATGTCATTTCATTCTTGTCCACAGTATTTATCACTGTACATGATTATCCGTATTTAATATGATTAACATTACACAGATTTATTTATATACTAGCGACCCAACAGACGTACTGTACACACGACTTAAACCCGACAACAACTTAAATGAAACAAAATAAAAAAAATGTAGTGGACCGAATTGGGAATCTAAACCGTTCTCGAATCGACCTGAATACACACAAAAATTTTTATTAAAATCGGCCCAGCCTTTTAGGAGGAGTTCAGTGATATACACATGTACATAAGTTAATTAAGTAAAGGCATATATAAAGATAAATATAAACAATATAAAAATAATATATAAATAATAAATAATAAATAATATTTACTATACTATACTACTAATACTGTATAATGTCACATAAATGATCACTATTATGCCTTATGAAAATGCAAAGCACGTAAGACGAGATTTGGTTCGATGTGAAATACTGCTCTACTCTTATCGCACTACTTTCTTAAATCACAGAGAAAGAAATTTTATAGAAGCAATGATGTTACACATGTCGTTGTCTTAAATGAGTACAAGAAATGTCAATTACGGAAATTAGAAATTTCCCATTACATTACGTACGAAATGCTACTTGACAAATACACATTGTTGCGTTAATTAGATTCCTTATTGAGGAGTAATAAATGAGTCTCCCTCGCCAAAGTGAACAAGCGTTCACTGAGGTGGCACGTGAAACGCACTACACATTTACATCACTACTTGGGCAACAGTCAAGCGCTTTTGACTGTGGTGGGGCAACGCAACAGCGTCCGTTGCACGAATGGGCAGGCTCGTCCATAGGGCCAACATTCAAGCATCACATCACATTTTACTAAGTCGTCAAAGAATCTGAAAGCCTTTTAACCGACTTCAAAAAATAAGGTGATATATATATATATATATATATGTGTGTGTGTGTGTGTGTGTGTGTGTGTGTGTGTGTGTGTGTGTGTGTGTGTGTGTGTGTGTGTGTGTGTGTGTGTGTGTGTGTGTCCGTTTTGTGATTGAGTATGGCCTGTGGTGATCACTTAACATCAGGTGAACCATCACCTCAGTCGACAAATTTAAAATAAAAAGCCTATCAAATTACTAGAGATATCTTTCTTACATTTTAGCATAATCACTGAAACAAATTACAGTAGCAATATAATTTTGCTATAATTATCACAATTCATCAATATCAATAGGCATAGAGACCATCGAACTGTAAGTAATTATATTGATAGGAAGTAATAAAGTAGTTAGTAAATTGCGCATAGTCCTAAATGAATCTAATTCTTTACTAAATAAATGTAATTAATGCTTATTTTTGTTATTTTAATATAAAAATTTACAACATAATTTCAGATAAATACCGTATAGCTTTTTATTCGAATATATTATAATATTTCTTAACCCGTCTTATAATTTGTCGGAGTGCCAAGCAGCAATTTCGGCGTGAAGAGGGACAAATACATACACAAACGAAGTTAGTGGGGTAATTCATTTAACAATAAACTTTCGGCGGTTTTGAGTGAAACAATTTGAACCCCTGCTAATAAATTTATCTTATAGGTGTGCATTTAAAAATGGGATGAAAAAAACTCCATACAATTTAAAGTTCCGTAATACGCACCTTTAAAGCAGATACCTATTAAGAGGTTTACTTGAATATGTTGAAAATATGATTTTGTACCTTGTGACATTGCTATTGTTTTAGTTGCTCTGTGACTGCATAGACAAAACTCTCTACTCTGTGTAATTGGTCAAGATGGTGTAGTTGTGATTTGAAGATGATTAAGTTGATTATTGTAATTAAGTAGTATCATGTGAAACCTAGTATAAAGTGTTAAATGATGTAAGTTAAATAGAATAAACCAATCATGAAAGCAGAGCTGCATATTTATTTTGATCCACGGAAACACATTTTCTAACATGGTATCGAGGCGTGATCATCCGTATTTTGAATGTTGAAAACGAGATATAATTATTGTGAAAACTGATTTGAAGAATGGCAGATAAAAAGGATGAGTTTATTTTGCAAGTTTTTGATGGATCCGGCTACGACAAATGGAAATTTCGAATGAAATTGTTTTTGGAAATGAAAAATTGTTATGAGGTTATATTGTATGACAGCAAACCTGAAAATATTAGTCAAATTCATTGGCTAAAAATGGAAATAAAAGCAAAAAACTACATCGTGAACAGTGTAAGTAACACGCAGCTTGAATTAATAATTTCGGAAGAATCTGCGAAAAATATAATTAAAAAGTTTGATGAAACGTATTTGGCAATGAGCAGTGCAAATAGATTATTATGTAAACGGGAACTGTTAGAATTAAAAATGAAAGAAAATGATTATCCCGTTGATTTTTTTAATACCTTCGAAAAATATGTAAATGAATTAAAATATGCAGGAGAGGAAGTTAAACAAGAAGATAAACTGAATTACTTGTTACTTTATTTACCAGAAAGTTTCTCGCATATAGTGGATATTGTGGATGCTTTGCCAGAGAAGGATCAATCGGTGGAATATGTAAAGTCAAAGCTATTGTTGGAATATAAAAAGAAGGAATCTACAAATTATAGTCAACAGTCGTTCAGTTCTCAAACTAAACAGAATGGTACAGTAAAAAATAATAAATTAAGGCAAGATAGAAGAGGTATTGTATGCCATAAATGTCACCAGCCAGCGCCACATTCAAAAATTTTGTCCAACTTTAAAATATAATTTCAGTAATAATAATACAAATAATTACAATAACTACCGTAGAGGATATGGAAGAGGAAGATTTCGAAGGAACAATTTTAGAAGAACAGCAGGCACTTCATCAGCGAATAATACAAGTCAAAGTAATTTTAATGTAAGGGTAATGTCATCTGAGGTAAATTCAATAAGCGAATGTCAAGCAAACAGTCCGATAGTGTCATGGTTATTAGATAGTGGCTGTTCAGACCACATTATAAATGATGAACAATATTATTGTCAAAGTAAAAATTTTGAGCAATCTTTAGACATTAAGGTAGGTGATGGTTTTTCTTTAAAAGCAAGTAAAATAGGAAATATCTGTATGTTATTTAATGTTAATGGTAAATGGCATAGAACTATGATTAATAATGTTTATTATGTACCAAGTATGAAACAAAACTTGCTTAGTGTATCATGCATCACTTCTCATAATAATGTGTAATTTAAAGTTTTTAACAGTGGTAGTGCTGAAATTTATGATAATAGAAATAAGTTAATTGCTGTAGCATTAAAGAAAAATAAATTGTTTGAATTGTCAGGAAAAGTAAATTTAAATAAATATGTTTCTGAATCATACACAAGCACTAGTAATATGACAAATAAAGAATTGTGGCATAGAATTCTCGGTCATACCAACTTTAATAGTTTAAAAGAATTAAGTAAGCTTCAGTTGTTAGATGG